GCAGCAGGGGGGGTCCATCGCGAGTCGCTCCCTGCTCCGCCGATTGCGGCTGGCCTCAGGCGGACGGTGATGCCCCAGGCTCCGCGGCCGCAGTCAAGCCCGCCTCGCCCGGCGCCAAAGCGACGAGTGGTAGCGCTACACTCAGCCCTGAACGTGGGGAGGAGGCTCCTGCTGCGGAGAAACTTGCGCGCCGACTCGAAAACGAGCGAGGGCGGCTGAGCTGGGCGAGCCCCAGGATAATCATGGCCGAAGGCGGCGACTTCAAGTTCGACCACGCTGGTCCGGAGGGGGGTCGTGCTGCAGAGAAGTAGGGAGAGTGTGGCGGTAGGCTTACATCCTTGCGTTCAAAAAATACGTCCGCACTGCGGTCTGCGCGCGGGGGGCGGTCGGTGGTAGAAGGAGAGGAGGGAGCGATGCCGAGCACAGGCCTGCACGAAGAACCCGTTTTTCAATTCTTTCTTTTTGCCCACGCAATGGAGACAGAGGTTTTTGTTTTGCGGCACCTGTGCCGCCAAGCCAGCCTCTCTCGGCGCAGCCTCTGAGGCTACGGGGACCCTCTGAGACGGCAAGCGCAAGGCAAGCCCCGCGAGGCCGCTCCTCAGAGGGGGTTTTCAGCGGTATTTCAAGTCTGTCGTGATCCCCCACCAAGCAGAGAGAACCCTCCCCCCCCCTTCCATTTTTCGGATACCTCAAGTTCGAGTTCCAGTCGAGTTCAAGCGGACGCCGCGGCGCCTCATGGCCAAGCTCGAAGCTGGAGCAGGGGAGCGACGGACTGGAGAGATCACTACCTCCTCCTCGGGCGGCCGCTCCAAGCACATCCTCAAGTTGACGGCGCCGGGCCGCGCGAAGCTGGTTCACGCGCAGGGCACGGCGCAGGCGCTGTGGTAGAGCCTGCAGCAGTAAGCGTGTGTGGTGCCGGGCGCGCTTGCGAGCGTATAGAGTAGCGCCTTAGTCATGGTCGCTGTGAAAAGTCATATGTTTTACTGCCGCCCCTCCCCGCCCTCACTGGTCAGCGCCGTTCGTGGAGGGCTAGGCAGCTCCGCCTCCGCCCGGGGCTCTCGCCTCTGCCGTGAGGGGGCTACCCTCTGAGGTCAAAGCCCTCTGTGCCGCGCCAAGACAGACCCTCGGCCAGGGACCCTCTGAGGCCAAAATCAGCCAAGAGAGGCCACAGAGGCGGCACAGAGTCAGAGTCAAACCCTCTGTGCCGCCAAGCCAGGGGTCCGACCCGTCCTCAGAGGGGGGGGTCTGAGGCCTCAGAGCGTGTGCAACCCCCTAGTCACAAAAGACAAAAGCTTTGATCCCAATCACGACACATGTTTGACTCGCCTAGTGTGGAGACGCCGTGTACCGTGGGGCCTTGTTGTCCTAGCACGGGGGTACCCGTGTGGTAAAATCGACAAAAAGAATTCACCCTGGGGCCTGTGTCGTACGACTCCAAGATCCGGCTGCACTCCGGTAAGATCCCATTGTGGATGTCCTACAACTCCATTGTGGATGGGTTCAAGTGCCTCGAGCCGTGCAGCGGCACCGGCGGTGCGTGGAGCCTCTTCGCACAGTCGGCGCTAAATAAGTTCACCTGGACGTGCCGAGACCA